AAAGCATCCTGACTAGGGAATTCTGGGAGTTGAAGTCCACCCATCTTCAAGTTGCCAAGTTTGAGAAACAATGCCACAGAGATTTATTCCATTTATATTTCATATTTTTAACTGCCCATCTCCCTTGGTTCCTGCCTTGAGAGGAGGTGTTGGACCAGAAAACCTCTTGGGTCCCCAACCTCTTACCCTCCAGGAGGACCAAGTACCCAGGGGAGTTGAAAGAGTACCTTAAAAGGTATTTCTGTCGTCATGGTGAATCCGTGGGTGATGAACGGCTCTTCGTCCTGGGGACGCCCTTTCCAGCAATCGAGTTCGATACAGCGGCAGCCGCTTAAGAGCACCTGCCGGTACATTTCCACAGAGGAATTGCCCGTCAGCTGCCCGGCTGGAAGGAAAAAAAAAAAGAGGGGGGGAAATGGTAAAGGAATGTCCTCGGGAGACAGAAGGAAGAGCCGAGCCCTCAGCTGCATAATGGATGGAGACAGATGTTCAGAAGGCAGGATCTTCCCCAATTGATCAGGCTGTAAAGGACATGGCTGGAATGGTAGGTGAGAAAGACCTTGAGGGATGGATGAAAAGAGGCTGTGTCTCAGATAAGAGATGGCTGAGACCTCAGTTGCATAATGGAGGAGGAGGAGGAAGAAGAAGAGTAGAAGGAGGAGGAGGAGGAGGGGGAGGGGAAGAAGAGGGGGAAGGGGGGGAGGAGGAGGAGGAGGAGGAGGGGAGGAAGGAGGAGGAGGGGAAGAGGAGGAGGAGGAGGACGAGACTTGGAAGGGACCTTGAAGGTCTTCTAGTCCAACCGGCTGCTCAAGGAGGAAAGAGGCCCAGTCGCCAAATGCTTGAAGTTTTGTCATGTGACCCCCGGGGCCTGGGAAACTGTTAGAAGTTTGAATCCAGTTGCAGGTAACCCTGAAGTAGGTCCACTGTAATTTCAAACAGTCACTAAAACGAATGGTCGTAAGTCAAGGACAACCTGTAAGCGATGTTAACGCCGCACCCTAATTTCCTTCGGACAGGAAAAGCAAACCAAGTTATCTTGGGAAACAAGGATGCTTTGAGGATGTCTATTTGTTCTTTTTGCAAATATTTCTTCTTCGGAATACCAAAGATACAAAAAAAAGAAGAATTTGAAGATGCTGCCTACTGTGCAAGATTTTCACTTCACAAAGTGAGGCCAGAAACGCTTTTGTTACTCTCCGCTTCTCCCCCCGAGGACGCTAGGAAATTGTAAGCTATTATCCGAGAGAAAAATTGCTCCATTCTTTGGCGCCAACTAATTGGGGTGACGTCTCCAGAGGCTGCAACACGGAAGGCAATGTATTGCCACCTTCAATTATTCGAATTATTCTACAATTGAGCTGCATTTTTTCGCTTGCTGGCTCCATTTCTACACGTACATTTGAAGTGGCTGGATTCACACCCATGCCTGGAGCCTGATCTTGTACAACTATCGTCCTCTAAGCCATAAACGGCAAAGATTGCGTTTAAGGGCAGCTCTAAGCCAAGATCAAGCCAACCATATCAGGATTTGCTGCAACATTCAAACCATCTCCAGTCAGTTCTGGCCGCCTGCATCTCTTCCCCCAGCTGTTACAGAACTCCAATTCCCAACATCCCTCACTTCTGGACAAGGTTGCAAAGGCTGCTGGGAACTGCAGTTCACATAACCATTGAGCACTGTTTTCAACCTTGCAACTTTAAGATGGGCAGACTTCAACTCCCAGAATTCTCAGAATGCTGGCTGGGAGATCTGGGAATTGAAGTCCACATATCCTAAAGCAAGCCGCCTGGAAAATTCTGGGAGTTGTGGTCCACACATAGATGTAAAGCATACTGACAGGGGAATTCTGGGAGTTGTAGTTCACACATCGTAAAGCATACTGACAGGGGAATTCTGGGAGTTATAATCCACATATCGTAAAGCATACTGACAGGGAATTCTGGGAGTTGAAGACCACCCATCTTAAAGCAGGCTGGCTGAGGAATTTTGGGAGTTGAAATCCACAAATATTAAAGCATGCTGGCTGGGGAATTCTGGGGGCTGTAGTCCACCAATCTTAAAGCACGCTGGCTGAAAACTTCTGGGAGTTGAAATGCACACCTCTTAACATTGCTAAGGTTGAGAAATACTGACTTAAAGCTAAAAGTTCCCCATCTCTGTGGTAAAGGGTGAAAAAACAAATTGTACCAATAGATAAAGAACAGGGTGGAGTCACCTCTGCCTGGTGTTAATTGCTGGAATGTCAATAAAATGCTCAAATGCAAGCTATAAAAAATGAGTCATTAAATTTTTCTCTCAGCCACAACTCCATTGAATGCTTTGAACTCCAAATGCTTCTGCAAATCGTCTTGAATTAAAGAACTCACTGGCAATATCATTTAACGTGGGATTTTGTGACACCACAACGCTCTAACAACACTCAACCTCAATAAGTTTAAAATAGCTGGGCTTCAATTACCAGAAATACTCCAGTCAGCATACTGGTTAGGGAATTTTGGGATTGACACCCGCACACATCAAATAGTGGCCAGGGTTGAGAAACATTGTATTATGTTATGTAAACTGCAGTTCCCAGCAGTCTTTTGCACGCTTGGCTGAGAGAAAGGGATGCTGGGAGTTGAAGTCACCTGTCTTCAAGTTGCCAGGGTGGAGAAACACTGCTCTGTGTTAGGGGAACTGCAATTCCCAGTAGCCTTTGCAAACTTGGCTGAGTTTGAAGGATGCTGGGAGTTGAAGTCCATACAGCTTAAAATTGCCACGGTTGAAAAACTCTGAACTAAACCAAAACCAAACAAGGCACATTATAATAAAGAATAAAGACTTTACAGAAGAGATAGATAGATAGATAGATGATAGATAGATAGATAGATAGATAGATAGATAGATAGATAGATAGATAAAGAGAGATAGAGATATATAAAGATATAGATAGGGATAGATAGACAGACAGATAGATAGATGATAGATAGATAAGACAGATAGATAAAAATAGAGATAGATAAAGAGACAGAGAGATATATAGAAAGATATAGATAGATGGAAAGATAGATAAATATAGATATCTAAAGATATCTATACACACACACTCAGAGTAAAAAGAGAGAGAGACAGATGCCTACAAAGCTGCCCAGCCCAGTATCTATACGTACCTGTGAGGTAGGTATTATGTGAAGAATTAATGAAGTAGCTGCTCAGCGGATGCGTCATGTCATCACTCAGGTCCAGCTTTTCGGGTGGCACAATGGTGTTCTCTTCACCCCCCAAGTAGCGCCCAAAACCCTCCAGGGACATCTGATCTGGGAAAGGAAGAGGAAGACTTGAGGATCGAGTTGGACCAGAACTCCCTTGGACAAAGTCAAGGATTTAAAATAAAAGGGAAGTGAAAATAATGAGGAAGCCAGCACAAAGAAAATTTCAGCCACAATCCAAGAACCTGCCTTGTTTTATGACTAAATATTATTGCAGATTGTCCTCCACTTACAACAGTTCATTTAGTGACCGTTCAAAGTTAAAACGGCACTGAAAAAAGCGACTTAGGATTGTTTTTCACACTTATGACCGTTTCAGCGTCCCCCCATGGTCACATTGGCCTATATTCGGATGCTTTGACTCGCATTTGTGACAGTTGCAGCGTCAACTTCTGGCAAGCCAACTCAACAGGGAAGCCAATTGTGTATTATATGATATGGAAAATATTCTATCAATGGTTAGAGAATAAAAAAGGAATTTAGAAATGAGGAAGAATAAAGGAGAACAGAAAATAAACTAAGATAGAGATAGGAAAAAAATGATAACTGTTATTATATGTACGATGAGAATAATGAGATGTAACTTTAATAAGGCATGATCACCAGAAGAGTCGTCTAATGTTTAGCTGTTTGATGTCTCTTAATTCTAAGTTTAGAGAAATAATATCAATGTGAATGTGAACGATGTTGTAAATCAGAGGTCTCCAAACTTGGCAACTTTAAGACTTGTGGACTTCAACTCCCAGAATTCTCAGAATGCTGGCTGGGAGATCTGGGAATTGAAGTCCACATATCCTAAAAAGCAAGCTGGCTGGAAAATTCTGGGAGTTGTAGCGCACACACAGACGTAAAGCATATTGACGGGGGAATTCTGGGAGTAAATCAGAGGTCTCCAAATCTGGCAACTTTTAAGACTTGCGGACTTCAACTCCCAGAATTCCTCAGCCAGCATTCTGAGAATTCTGGGAGTTGAAGTCCACAAGCATAACTGGCTGAGGAATTCTGGGAGTTGAAGTCTACAAGTCTTAAAGTTGCCAAGTTTGGGGACCCCCTGTTGTAAATGGTGAAGAACGTGGCACAGAGGTGTTTGCGCCCACACGACACACTGCTTGAGAAAAAAAACGAAAGGTTTGCATGTTTGAAACTGAAATATATATGTATATATAAATATATCAGGTATCTTACCCCTTTGCTGGAATTGCTGGTTGGGTTCGTACTTGGCGATCAGTTGGCGGACTTGCGCCCGCGTCAAGGGAGGGTACAAGACCTCGTTGAGACGGGGGTCCCGCTGCTTCTGGTTGATAAATTCCATCAGCTGGTCGAGGCTGAGATACGGCTTCCCTTTGGCTCCGCTGATTGGGTGAGGACAGATAAAGGACAGGGAAGGGGTTAAAAAAAATGGAGTCGGATACAGGTTTAAGTCCTCGACTTATGACAACGGCGCTGACCATTTCTGTCGTTAAGCGAGACACTTGTTAAGGAAGGTTTGTCCCCTTTTACGAGCTTTTTCCTGCCAGAGCTGTTAAGGGAATCACGGCAGGTGTTGAGAAACATGGTTGTTAAGTGGAATCCCTGTTGATTTCGCTGGGTCAGGTTGCAAAAGGGGATAATGTGACACTGCGGACACTGAGACCGTCATAAATACGAGTTAGTTGCTAAGCGTCTGAATTTTGATCCTGTGACCACAACAGTCGTAAGGGTGAAAAAGTCACGTCTGTCAGGATTCCGGCAGTTACCCCAATTAAATCATGAGTCTCGAGCCAAACTCCCCAAACTTAGAAGGATTTACTGGAAGGCAACATGTCGGCATAACCTGGGCATAGCCGACCCTCAGACACGTAATTCATTGTCACCTTTGACCCTGCTTTTCCCCCAACCCCTCTGAGTGTATCATAATTCATATTCTCCAACGAAACACGTCCATAGCCAAGAGTCATCAATCATGCTCTCCAATTAGACTTTTTGCGTGGCCGAAGCTTCAGTCATCTAATCGGTCTCTGAAGAAAATATGAATGGAATATACTTTCGATTCCACACTCTTTGAAACTCCCTCCCCCTTCCTTCTGTGGACAACTATAAAATGTGTGTAGAAAATGTTTTATGAGTTGACATTCGGCTCCCCTCACTTCTTGAAGGTGATCTGTACTACCACCCACCCACCCCAAAAAACAACAACAACAAATTGATTTCAGGTATGCTCATAAAATTGGGTTGGTTGTATGGGGGACCCAATTTATGATCCCTGAGACTTAACGACCATAACTGACAAAGAACATTATGGTCACAAGTCGAGTTGGTACTTATATATACCGTGCCTCAGTTTCTGTATCGTAACGGCTTCAGACACGCAAAAAGGACCTGTTTTACTCACATCTCCAGCAAGATTTTGTCAATGTCGGGACGAAGGCAAAGCTTGTTGAGGAAATGCTCAAAGATCTCCAGGGTGAATTCTTCGGGTTTGATCGACTCGCTCTGGGGACGAAAGAAATGATTTGCAAACGGGCGGAGGACGCTAGCGAAATTTGAATCCTTCCTGGAAGTTCTGGGGAGGCTGGAAGGAGGGACATAACGCGAGGCTACGGGAAGGTTGGAGCGGAGATTTAGGAATAAATTAGGTTTCTCGACCTTGGCGACTTTTAAGATGTGTGGACTTCATTTCCCAGAATCCCCCAGCCAGCCCTGCTGGCCTGGGGAATTCTGGGAGTTGAAGTCCATACGTGTTCCTTCCTTCTCTCCCTACTTCTTTGTTCTTCCCTCTTTATCCTCTTCTCCTTCCTCTTCCTTCCTTCTTCTCTCACTCCTGCTATTCTTTGTTCTTTCCTCCTCCCCT